AAACGCATGCCTGCCCCACACTGTATGTGTGGCTTCCATAAAGCCAGCATCATGCTGTGCAGGCATGAACCAACCCTGCTTTGATCGCTCACCCCCATACACAGTGTGCGCCCGTCAAGGCTTTGGTCAAGTCGTGCACCTCCAAGGCCGGCCCGACTGCCCTGATGGACCAGCTGTGCAGTGAGCTGCTGGCACCTGCCAACGCTACGGCCGACAGCAAGGTGCGTGCGTGCGCACGCGCGCATGCAACCCCCCCCCCCCACACACACACACACAAGCATGTACGCACGCACGCAGACAGGCGTCTGTGTGCTGGTATGGCAGCAAACAGTCGCGACGGCGACACAGTGGTGACTTGCTTGGTTGTTAGTGCGTGGGTGAAGGCAACTACTGCTCTTCCAGCACCGCACCCCTGGTTACTGTTCGACCACGAAGAGACCGCAAAGTTGTCCTGATCACCACACTGGTTGCTTGACAATTTGATTAATCGTCACACTTCTGGTTGCTCCCCCAGGACCCCACCAAGCTGCGCTATGGTTGCGGCGTGGCGACCGCTGCACAGGTCAACAGAGTGTCCAGTGACCTGGCAGCCCTTGAGCCCAAGGTCACCGCCGCCGCCGCCCAGGCCAGCACTCTGCAGGCCACCTTCGTCCAAGGAAGCAACGTGACAGCCGCGCTGCGCGCTCAGATGGACGAGCTCAAAGCAACTATCGCGGCGCTCACCGCCGCCGTGCAAAAGCTGCAAGCAAACACGGCTAACGCCACTGTCCCGGGCACCATCACGCAAGAGCTCGCCGCCCTCGCCGCCGCTGACACGCGCACCGCCCAGCAGCTGGCCCTGCTGGAGGCGGCCAACCAGACCGCGGCCCGGGACATCGCGGCGCTCAAGTCTGCCCCGCAGCAGTGCTTCTGCGGCGTGGAGCTGTCAGCCGTCAACACCACCCTGGCCGACATCAGGGCAGCCCAGACGGCGGACGCGGCGGCGGTCTCCCTGGCTAACGCCACCGTGGAGTCCCTGAAGGCCACAGTCACCACAGGCGCGGCAGCCATCGCCTCAGTCAACACCAGCCTCACCGCCCTGGCAGCCAATGTGGCCAATGTGTCTGCCATCGACTTCAGTGTCTACGCGAAAACCACTGACCTGGCCAACATCAACGCAGTCAGCCTGGGGGGCGTGCCCGCTGCGCAGTACCTGCGCTCACGAGTGGTGCTTTACAGCGAATCCTCCACTGCGAGAAATGGAAACCTTGGTGGCCGGTCTGGTGCCGATGCCTTGTGCAGCGCCTCCCCCAACCGGCCGACCGGGCTTGTGCAGGTGCGCGCGTTCCTATCGGTGTCCGCTGGCGACCAGATTGCTGACTTCGTCACAAAGTACGGTGTCCCCGGTGGCCTGGCAATCGAGTCGCCAACCGGCGCCGTCCTGGCTGGAAACTTCACACGCCTGCTGGGGGGCAGCATCTTGCAGACCTTGGAGAGTGCGGGCGTGTTTTCGCGAACTCTTGTGTGGTGGTCTGGCAGTGAATCAAATGGTGTAGTCGCAGCCCAAACGTGCAGTGGTTTTATCAGTGCTGTTGCAGGAGATACTGGAGTAGTCGGATTTTCCGACGCTGCTACGGCCGGCCAATGGATAAAAGTTAGCCTGAACCCATGCTCCGACCCCAGGCACTTGATGTGCATCGCTTACTGATCTGTCGCGCCTGAAAGCAATGCCTTTACCATGTCTCAGGAAGGCATGGAGGAGGAAGGAAGGCACGCGGCATTGCACTCTGGTATGCTGCCAGCAGGTGTAGCCTGGATTACCCTGCACACGCCCGCATCTGTCAGTTGGGCTTCATCCTGCCGGTTCCAGAACGGCACACCAAGCCGTTCTGCGTGCACGTACTTTGCGTTTGCTGGTGGACGGGCCTGACACGATGTCTAACCTAATGAGGCTGTTCACTGAACATTTTGGGCGGCCGAGCACTGCTGTCCCCCTTTCAGCACAGCACATTGATCTAATCTGAGCCCGCACTCATGTGATACATGAACGCAATGAGTAACGGTCTTTTGCCACGCTCTCTTACAACCTCGTTCACACTGTCTGCGTTCCTCGTCATTTGGTAGCTTGCAATATGCGCGCACGCCCGGCGCTCTCTGCGCACCAGCAGGCGCCCGCTGCGCACGCACACAACATTGCACAACTGCCCAGAGGCGTGTTGTTTTGCGATTCTTTCCAACAGGGATGGGGTCGTCATTTGCAGTAGGGAGTGTCATACACATGCATTGAAACAGCTGAGCAGCAAAGGCCAGTAAGCTATTGTGGCGCAGCCGGAGTCCCCATCGCAGGGCGCATCGACAGTGACAAAGCGTCTGGCCAGATTTGTGCTGCTTCGCAGGCGGCTGCACATGATACAGCACCTGCACAGCTGGTGCGCCGCTTGACCTCCTGGTGCAAGCCTATCCGTGTTTAGTCGTACCCGATGCTTCTTCGCCATTTCGAGATTGTGAAGGGTTCAAATCGGTCACCAGCCTAGATCATGGGCTCTGGCGCGATTAGCAGCGGGACTGGCGGGTTTAGGGACGCGCCTCTCAGGCCTCAGCGCAAGGCAAAGAATCCGCGGAGCAGGCAAGCGCTGCAGAAGGGGTTGATGCCAGAGAGCGTTCTGAAAATGGGGGGAACAAGGAGGAGGCTTTCGCAGAGGACCGTAGCGAGCAGGATAAGTAGGAATCTCATATGTACGAGCAGATGAGCGGTGCTCTGACCCACAGCTCCCCGTGCGTGCTCCGCTCCCGCTGCACCGCACTCCGCGTCTCCGCCCCAGCGCACGACGTGTCCGAGCGCACAGTAACTGCAGCGCCGTCCATACCACCACGTCCAGCATTGGGAGTCCTCGTACACAGCCCCTCCCTGTGAGTGCAACCATGGCTTTGGCGCCCCCGGGCCAGCTGGCGTCAGTCTTGTCGGGCTGCACCACCTGTGTGCTCCATGCAACTGGATGCTGCGCGCGGGCTCAATCCGATGCCACGCAGGCAACAGCAACTAATGGCTGGCGGCTGTCTCACCACGGCTTGCGGTGTGAGTGTTGCTATGAAGGGCTTGTGACATCCACTTGCGCCCAAGGACATTGTGTCGCACCTGCTGCCTGAGATGGATGAACAGAAATCTGCGGCAGGCTGGGAGGGCGCTGGTGCGTGCTTCCAACACCAGCATGGGTGGAGCGCCGTCTCGCCTGGTGGTAGGCAGCCTGGTATGCATGGAGCGGCAGCTGTTGCTTGGGCAAGACCATCCATTGACTGAGCGCAGGCCAGTGGGCAAAGTGGTTTCATGAGCTCCCCAGCTCCCACATAGCCAGACATCCAATTGCGACCTCACAGGTTGCGATGCGAACACGCAGATCAGGTCAGTCGCAGAACCCGACCAAGGCCGAAGGTTTGGGGCCACGAAGAGCAGCTAGTGGAGCTGAGGCGGCGAGCTGAGGAGGGCACGGTTCAGCGCGGGAGGAGGGGTGGGCGTGGCTGCGGCGGGTGACAGCGGCGGCGCCGGCGCGGCCGGCCACGGCAACGGCGGGCTGTTGTTCAGGGAGCTGAGCGGCGGCGGCGGTGGGCGCTGCTGCAGGCGGCGGGCGCCAGGTGGGGGCCGGAGGGGGTTGCGTGGGAGATGCTGCATTGGCGCGCTGCAGGCCGCTAGGCTACTCGGCTGGGGAGCAGGCACTCTCTGGCAGCTTGGCGGCGCCGGCGCGGCCGGCCACGGCAACGGCGGGCTGTTGTGCAAGGAGCTGGGCAACGGCGGCGGTGGGCGCTGCTGCAGGCGGCGGACGCCAGGTGGGGGCCGGAGGGGGTTGCGGGGGAGATGCTGCATTGGCGCGCTGCAGGCCGCTAGGCTACTCGGCTGGGGAGCAGGCACTCTCTGGCAGCTTGGGGGTGCCGCGCTGGATGTATGAGGAAGGTGTTGCGGACAAGCCATGGCTCATGACCCTGGAACGATGGCGATCACCGTCCCGAAGGCGGAGGGCGGCCTCACCACCGCACGCCAAACGACAGGCCAAGGCAGGGGAGCCCAGGCGCTGCTTCGACCGCCTGCAGCTGAGCGGGCAGCCTGTGCGGAGAGTTGTCAAACGCATGCGCTGTCCCTCCACATATCCCTGGTTCAAATCCAGGCTGTTGTGTCATCGATGTTGAGACGTTTGACCCCGCCATGTTGGTCGTCTGCGGCTGCGGCGGCCAAGGTGGTGGCGGCCGTGGCACCTCGTGTGGCGGGCGGGGTCTATCTGCGGCGCAGCGCGTGTGGAAGCATGTGGTGCACAGGCAATGGGGGCCACGAAGCAGGGAACTGCTGCGGTTCAGTTGCAGCGCGCAGCTCCAGGTCAGGAGGCAAGTACCTCAAGATGTGCGCAGGACGCCCTGCGCACATCAAGCGCCCAGTGCCAGTTTCGCGCCACCCAGCTCAGTTGTCGTCCCTCTCCTCCCATAGAGCCCGTCGCCTGCCTAGCATCACCTACGGCGGTCTTATCTAATCCCCCTGGCATGCGTTTTTGTCCACCTGAAAATACGAGTTTGCAGCTCCACGATGTGCCGCCCCAGGCGCTGCTGCCCGTCGTCCCCCACTTGTCGGAGGGCTCTGCGCCAGTGATGAGTCAAAGCGCCTGGAGGCGGCGCGGCTGCTGGGGCGACTGTTTGGGCAGCGGGGCGGCGGCGCGGTGGCGGAGGAGTGGGGGGTCGTCCTGACAGAGCTGCTGAGGCGCTGCAGGATGAGAAGGTGGGGCGGGGGAGTAGCGGCTGCAGATAAGTCTTGGTGTGCGTTGAGAACAAGACAAGGGGGGCCCACAGCAGAGCCTCAGCCCTTGAACTCATGAGCAGAAGCCTGCTGGCGCGCGCCCCTCGCCCGCGGTTGCTGGGGCCTCAGCAGGCGCCCGCCTGTGCCAAGGGTGCAATCGTAACGACCCGCCCTGCGCCTCTGTGGCGCCCTTCCACCACTGACGCGCTCTCACCGTCCCTGCTCTTGCGCACAGCCCGAGATCCGCATGGAGCTGGTCCAGCTGGCGGCGCAGATGGTCGGCAGCCTGAAGCCTGAGAAGATGAGGACCAAGGTGGGGCAGGCGGCAGGGTTCAAGGGTACGTGACGGCCGTCCCTGTTCTGTGTTCGAATCGGGCGCTCAAGCAGCACTCAACGGATCTCCGCGGGGCGGCTGGGGCGCAGCAGGGCAAGTCGCCAAGCTGGTCCCTTGCGCCTGCTGCACATCGCTTCATGCCAGGCTGAGGTTGGCCCCGCGGCGCCCCCTCCTGTCCCTCAGGTGTTGAAGGGCGTCTTTGAGCGGCCCAGGAACCCCGACGAGACA